TGGCTTCAGGTAGACCCAGCTCTAGCCATTGTGGCCATTTAGAAATGAATCAACAGATTGAAGAGCTTTCTATCTTTCTCTCTCCAAGCCTTTCATACAGAACAAAATCTTTCTTTTAGAAAAACACTAATATGTTTTTAAAGGATTTATTTAGTTTTATTTTAAATAGTTTTGGAGTAAGGGGAGAAAGAGACAGAAAAACAGAAACATTAAGAGGTATCCCATCTGCTTGTTCACCTGCAAAATGACTGTGACAGGCATGACTGGACCAAGCCAGAGCCAGGAGCCAAGAGACCCCTCCACCTGGGAGGCAGGGGCCCCGACGCTTGGCCAGCTTCAGCTGCTTTTCCCAAGCATGTAGCAGGTTCCCTTCTCGAGAAGGGAACAATCAGGACTTGAATCAATGCCCATGTGGGATGCCAGTCTGTAGGCAGCAGCTTTAACTACTGTATTATATCATTGGGCCCAATACTAACCATATTCTTTGGCCGTCATGTAGTGCAACTTTTTTTTCTAATACCATTGGTTTCCTTTCTTTTTTAAAAAAAGTCCAATCGATCACCTTTTTTCCTTATGGCTTTTCTCCATTTTCATATTTGTGAAGTCCTTTTTTAAAAAAAAAATCCAAACAGAAATCAATTATTTAAATGTAATGTATTGAATACTTAACCTTTCCCAGCTGATTTGAAATGCTACTCATAATGTACCTGTGTAGGCCAGGCTGTACCCTGACCCTTGTCTACCAGGCTGACTTGCTGGATGCGGGCACTTCGCCATATTGCCTGTCTTGAAAGGCCTGGTACTGCATTTCTGTACTCATGTACATGTCACATGTGGTGGATGCCAGCACCTGCACTGTGCACTGTGGGGCATACTGGCTGTGGGGATTGCATCTTCAATGATCTTCTGTTCAGTGGAGTGATCAGACTAGGACTTTACAAGCACTAAGATCCACTTCGTGCCAGTCAATGGTTTTGCTTACAGCAAAACCTACACGCATTTGTTGAAAGAGAGAACAATGCTGTACAATGGCCCAAACTGTATGCCAGGCATTTTCTCATTTTATTTCCTCCTCGCAAGTTACCAACCTTGGTAGATGACAGTCTTCCTAACTTTATTAATAAGGATAGAGATGATGGAAGACCCAAGGTGATTTTTTTCCCAAGGTCACTTAAAAGATGACAGGCACAGATGGGATTCAAATGCTCAACTGTCTGACTTGAAAGATGGTACTTTCATGGCAAAGCGTTTGCCTCTAGCGTTTGGTGGCAATGGCAATGCCTTCCTTCTGTACAGCTGTGACTGACTCCTTTCCAAACTCAGAAGCCACACAGGACACGAGTTGGCAAGCACAGGCATCTACTGCTAGTCCAAGATAAGGACTCACAATGCCATGACTTGTACAATCCGCAATGTGTGACTGTGCGTGCATCTGTCACTGGCTGTCCCTTGGTGTCCTCTGGCATGCACTGTGCCATCTATTTGCCGTCCTTCTGATAGAACAGGAAGAATAGAATTCTTCTAGAAGAGCAGGCCCCACACAGAATATTCAACCACCACATGACAAAGCTGGAAGTCCAACACGGCTTCCACACAAAAAATGCCAACCTCTCTTCCTCCATCGCTTGCCTTATGTCAACAAAGTTGTTTTGACTCCTTCTCTTTAGCGTGTTTGGTGGGGGCGCAGAGAAGAAGTTTGTCCTTTTGTAGCTTAACAAAGCTTTCGAAATAAGGCCAAATGTAGTGAGTTGGGACAGCTGGATTCTGTATGCCATTTCTTCCTTTTCATCTTCCCATGGCATCCTTGGCAGCTCACGGAACACCTCAGTCCCTCCCCATGCACACCCTGGGTAGCTCAGAGACACCTCTGCTCCTCCACCAGGGCATTCTAGGTAACTCTTGGCCATCGTTCAGAACTCTGCTGGGACTCCTACAACACCTCTGCTAGGTGTCCGTGTTTTGCTCATAAACTACTTGCCTCCAGTGCCCCATGACAAAGAACTATGATCTTTGTGCTGCCAACACCGAGTGCAGCCTGGGAACTCAACAGAGATTTGAAGAAGGGGAGGATGAATGGACAGTGCGCTATACCCAAACTGCTGACTGCTAGACTTTCCTGGCTCCCATATATCCCCAACAAAATCCCCTGGAGTCAAAGCTGCCAAAGGGAAAAGGGCGATTCCCAGCGGGAAGCAGGAAAGAAAAAATGGGGGAAACCTAAGCAGGTACATCAACACTCGAGAATCAGCACTTAGAACACTACCCTTGTCGTGCCGGATGCAGCAGTGGGATGCTCACTATGCTAATGAGCCTGTGTCTCATGCGACAAGGTGGAAGTGTTCAGGAACTGCTGCCCAGTCTTCCACGTAGGGCAGGGAAGCCCATATCAAATAGCTGCATTTCTTCCTTTTGTTCCTGATCCACGATGAGACAGTGAATTCATCCCTGGGGAAACCATTTAAGCAGCTTGTTCAGGAACATTTGGCTGGGTTCTCTTCTGCCAGTGCGCACACAGAGGACAATAAAACAGGACCAAAACTCAGGTCCAATGCTCTCACCTTCACTTCCTTGCTAGCCTGACAAAAGGAAGCAAAGATATTTAGCTGTCTTCCTTCCACCACCATTGTAACAGGGTTTGATGGTGCCTGGCTCACCATCTAGAAATACACATTTGAAAGCTCAGCAGAATAACTGGCTATGCTATCAAGCTGAACACACATAGATCTAAGATGAGTAGAAAACTAGCCCAAGTGTCTAGGAAGGCAACCTTTTTAAACAAAGACTGAGTCACTAAGAAATTATTTGTATATATTCAGCTCATGAACCTGGAAACAAACAAGAGTAAAAATCAATACCAGTGGTTTGGTGTTGTGGCACAGTGCATTAAGCCACCATTGTAACACTAGCATCCCCTATCAGAGTACTAGCTCAAGTCCTCGCTGTTCCACTTCCAATCCAGCACCCTGACAATGTGCCTGGGAAGGGAGGAGAAGATGGCTCAAGAATTTTGATCGCTGCCACCCACATAAGAAATTCAGATGGAATTCTAGTCTCCTGGCTTTGACCTGCGCTCTTGCAGCAATATAGGGAGTAAAACAATGAAAGAAAGACCTCTTTCTCTCTGTCTCCCCTTCTCTGTGTCACCATGGCTTTCAAATAAATAAAACTTCATTATGTTTTTAGGTTTCAATACTATTTAGCATCCCTGAAGAGTAAACTAGAGAATCAGCCTGCACGTGTTCTAGATATGTTATAAAGTTGCTACTCAGAGTTTGCATTACTGATTATCTGCACAACTAATGATGGGAGGAAGCTAACATCCTCTTTAAAAATTTGTTTTTATTAAAAAGGCAGATCAGATTTATAAAGAGAAAGAGAGACAGAGACCTTCTATCCACTGGTTCACTCCCCAGGTAGCTGCAATGGCCAGAGCTGAGGCGATCCAAAGCCAGGAACCAAGAGTTTCTTCTAGGTCTTTCATGCAGGTGCAGGGTGCCAAGGCTTTGGACCATCCTCTACTGCTTTCCCAGGCCATAAGCAGAGAGGCGGATGGAAAGTGCAAAAGCCACAACATGAACTGATGCATGTGGGATCCTGCTAATGAGATGAGAATTTAGCCATTGAGCCATCGCTCCAAGCCACACAAACATCATATTTCTGTGGCATTTGCCTGTTTGGGTTTTTTTTTTTATCAATTAGGAAAAACGATCCCACCCTTTTCCTTCATATTTTATTTCCCAAGTCAAATTGTTTTTGGAAATTTCAACTTGTCCTTTCCATTCTCCCAGAAAATCGTATTACTCCAGCATTCAATCTGCTCAATCTTGGTTCAGTTTCAAGTTGATACTTCAGTTCATTTCCAGACATATACTGAGTGGTTGGTATTCTTGTATTACTTCTCACTTTCAGACACAATTGCTTGGCAAGGTGGAAAGCCTGCTGGGTAAATGAAGCCTGCTCCTTCTCCTTCTCTATTATTCACCCTTCAGACATGGGAAAGCGAAGTCACAGCAGCTCCTCCTGCCTCTAAGGGCCAAGGTTGAAATGAACCAGCTGAGCTAAAAGCATGAGAACAGTCCGTTTTCAATCATGTTGGTTATATTTCGTTAGAAAACTTCCTTAAATTAACGGCAAGTCCTTATTAGTTCATTACTTGCCTTGCTCTCTTTATAGACTATAAAATGTGCAGGTAGGTTGTTTTTAGGATTTTATTAAAATTTCATAGACAAATGGAAGCAAAGAAGTTTCAAACAGAGAAGTTACTCACACTACTCAATATGCCACAAGGTGTTTCAACTAAAGACAAGATGACAATAAGTTAGCCAGAAAGGCATCCAGCACCCCTTTTCTGCAGGAGCTTGATATTCTAGAGATAAGCTGGTATTAATGTGCAACCTCCGGAGTGCCCTGGTAGCACCGATAATAATCATCTCCATGAAGAAATGTGGGCTTGGCACATGCCATCTGCTGTCACCACAGCCCAAGGTTGGCACATGCCATCTGCTGTCACCACAGCCCAAGGTTGGCACCTGCCATCTGCTGTCACCACAGCCCAAGGTTGGCACATGCCATCTGCTGTCACCACAGCCCAAGGTTGGCACCTGCCATCTGCTGTCACCACAGCCCAAGTTTGGCACCTGCCATCTGCTGTCACCACAGCCCAAGGTTGGCACATGCCATCTGCTGTCACCACAGCCCAAGTTTGGCACCTGCCATCTGCTGTCACCACAGCCCAAGTTTGGCACATGCGATCTGCTGTCACCATAGCCCAGGGTTGGCACATGCCATCTGCTGTCACCACAGCCCAGGGTTGGCACATGCCATCTGCTGTCACCACAGCCCAAGGTTGCCTTTCATTTGGAAATCATGCTGTTGATTTGGTTTAGAATCTACATGGGTGAGGCATATGCTTCTCCTTGCTGTCCAGGGAGATGCTGGCGAGAAGAAAGCGGAAGCTTAGGACTGAAGCTTGTGCTTACCGACTCTCCTCTTTTCCCTAGTTACCGTGACAGTGGGAGGCAAGCAGCACTTGCTGGGACTGTATGACACCGCAGGACAGGTACGTTTTTATTATCTTGATAACTAAGAGTTGGTGGGGGACATCAGCGGAAAACCATCTGGCCAGGTTAGTGAGTCCACACACAGACACGACTCAGTCTGATCACTCAAGTGTCAATCCAAACAAGTGCAAGTGCGTTCTTGGAATTTCAAAAATACTTCCAAGTATAAAAACCTAAATCATGCTAATAATGAAGTAATGATTGCTTCGTTGATGGATAACCATCAACAACCAAAATAACATTCAATCGAGATTTTTAATTTCCTCTTACCCAGTCCTAGTCCACATCCAGAATTAACGGGTAAATATTTCACTTAACCTATGTGATCCTCTTTGAATCCTCAGTTGAGCTATGAAAAGTTTCAAAAGAGGCAAATGTGAGGAACGGTGGCAGAGAATAGATGAGTGAAGTGTTGAAAGAAAGAAAAGCCAGAATTGCGGGATGTTTTCCACAAGTGCAGGTCTTTCCCCCCTGAACAACTGGGAATTAACTCTAAATTATCTAGGAATCTTGAAATACATTCACCTTGTCAGACACGATTCAAGAAAGATTTAAGTTGGGAAACCTGGCCAGCCGTAATGTCAGGCAATGGATCAGAACCCTTCGTCAGCTAGCACATGCTCTAAGGAGTGAAAATATCACTGGACCGTCGGTCCTGACACCCCACACATTGTGCAAGTCTTCAATGTTACGTGTTCTTCGGTTGGAGGAGGGGGAAATGGGGAATCAGTGCCTACGGCCCAATTTCTTGGATAAAGTTTTTATTACCAAATAAGCCTTGGATCATTTATTGAGGTCAAATCCGGTTTGTTCAGTTTGCCCAAATGCTTGCCTCTGAAGTCCTTTAGAGTGGGTCTTTGACCAATTTCCCACTGTGAGTTTTCTGGTCATTGCTATTTGTAGTTAAGCGTTTGTCTAGGCCTTTTTTTTTCACAATTATCTGGGTACATGTCATTTTGCTCAACTTAAAAGCTCTTTACCAGGAAATAAATAAGTGGAGGTCTCTTTGTGGAATTTGCAAAGGAACTTCATAAGAGTTGCTGTACACACCTGAGTGTGGCGTTGGTCAAGTGGGGGTGGGGAGCCTGGGAAACCTGGCACCACATCAAAACTATAAGGAGCATCACTGTTTCAGCAGAACTGGGGAGCAGAGGCGACCACTCACATGCACAGAGCGTCGGGGGTCTAGGGAAGGATGGTTCCTAAGGGCCCAAATGGCCTCAAGGCCAAGATTCAAGCAGAGCTGACTCTTGGCGTACAGTGCCTTTAGCTGCCACATACCATACCAGCTTCCTGTATGGGTTCCAGTTCAATTCCCAGTTGCTCCAGTTCTGATTCAGCTCCCTGCTGATGCACCTGGTAGAGAAGTGAAAAAATGACCTGAGTGCCTAGGGCCCTGCCAGCCACGTGGGAGACACAGATGGTGCTCATGGCTCCAGCCTATCTCAGCCTTAGCTGTTGCTGCCACCTGGGGAGTGAACCAGCACATGGAAGATCTGTGTGTGTGTGTGTGTGTGTGTGTGTGTCTCTCTCTCTCACACACATACACACACACACACAACATTGCCTTTCAAACATACATGTGTGTATGCTACAAAGGCCTCAGTATAGCTCATATTCCTCACCACCAGAAAGCATTCTAGCATTGTAGCAAAAGGCGCACACGGGAGGGCTGAAGGTGCCTACGCTGGTCCACACAGCCACTGGGGATCCCCACTCATGAAAAAGTCACATCTCAGGAAGAACATGGAAGCTTGCATCCTCCTCAGACTTACCCACAGTCAAATTTTATGAATATAACCCAGTTTGAAAAATTAGATACACCAAATCATGTTTCATGACTCAGAGACTTTGTTTCTCTTACCCTATAAAACATAGAGCTCTCTGTGTCCCCGGGAATCCATTAGGTTCTCCCCTCTCCTGCAGCCTTGCCCGCCCACCGCCCCTGCTGCCAAACAAGCATTCTGTGCATCAAATGCCCCAAGAACAACTTCCCTGGGTCTGTATTTAATTTCAAATCCAACCAAACTGTTCAAAAACTCTTGTAGAGTTTTTGTCTTTTCCAAACAACTCTGCCCTTTAAGTGTGTGTGTGTGTGTGTGTGTGTGTGTCTGTGTACACGCACACATTTTTTTAACATCAGTCTAGGCTTTGTAAAAATGCTTTGACAATCCAAATCAGAGACAACTGAAGGGCCCCAGGCCTCTGACGCAGATGAACACTGATAAAATATAAAATCAATGATTTCAAGATGTTTCTTCAACTTCACTTGCACCGTGATGCTTTCTGCGGCTTCCTTGGAAAGCTCACAGGCAGAGGAAGTCCATGGAGGAGCAGCAAACACGTGCTAAGGGAGGCAGAGCCTCGCTCAAGTCCCTCCCAGGCCAAAAAGGCTACGATTAGGACCTGCATCAAGAGAGCTTTTCAAAGACCTGCAAGAACTGGAGTCGTGAGCAAAAGGATGTGAAGCCAGGCCCAAGAGAACTCTTTCAGCACAAGCAGTTGTTAAATACCAGAATGCAGTCATGCTGGAGGACAGCGGGCAAGTCGCTTCCGGGAACAGCGATTCTCCATGGCTGACGGTGCACCCAGCCCTAGGGCATCAGGAAACGCCGCTGCCTGCGTGCAGTGCTGACATCACTCGGGAGCACCTGCTCAGGTCTCAGCTGCTGCACTGCTGACCCAGTGCCCTACTGATGGTCATCCGGGAAAGCAGCTGCAGAGGGCCCAAGTGCTGCCATCTTGTGGCCCAGGTAGGAGTCCTGGATGAAGCTCTCGCTCTCTCCATCTCTCTCTCTCATTCCCTTTAGAAAAAAAGTCCCTGGGGTCCCACCCCAGACCAGAGTATCTGCTGAGTGGGGCCCATGACTTGTCTTTAAAAAAAAAAAAAGATTTATTTATTTGTATTGCAAAGTCATATATAGAGAGGAGGAGAGACAGAGAAGAAGATCTTCCATCCTATGATTCACTCCCCAAGTGACCGCAATGACCAAAGCTGAGCCAACCCAAACCCAGGAGCCAGGAGCTCTTCCGGGTCTCCCACGTGGGTGCAGGGTCCCAAAGCATTGGGCTGTCCTCAACTGCTTTCCCAGGCCACAAGCAGGGAGCTGGATGGGAAGCAGGGCTGCCAGGATTAGAACCTGCACTCATATGGGATCCTGGCACGTTCAAGGCGAGGACTTTAGCCGCTAGGCCACCATGCTGAGCCCATGACTTGCCTTTATAATAGGGCTCCCTACGCTGCTGCTCCTAGTCCGTACTTTGAGAACCATAGTTCCAGAACCTTGAAGTGCAAGGCATGGTCCGCTGACCAGCAGCGTCAGCACGTCCAGGGAGCAGCTCAGAAAAGCAGCATCTCAAGGCCCGGCCACAGCCTGCTGACTTGAAAATTTCCCTGTTCAGAGGATCCCCAGTTTTCTGGATGCTCACTAAACCTCGAGTAGCCCTTCTCTACAGGCCCCCAGTGGTTGCAACACCATCTGCAAAGTCAGGAAGACGCAATGGAAAATAGCCATTTCCCAAACGGGTTTCCACGGCTCTGCAGCTCAGCCAGCAAGGCCTTGCAACAAATCAGGAATACATGGTCCAGAAAGTTCCATTCCCATCTGTAGCTAACGTGAGCCACTCCTTCTCAGTCATATATATATATATTTTTTTAAAGAATGGTGATGTCACACAATAGCTGAAGAATATCTGTAACTAATTCAAAACTACTCACTTGGCTAGTTTTACTAATAGGAAGAAAATGATCTGAAAACCAATTGATCCATCCCTGAGCCACAAAAAGGAGGAAGTCTCAAAATCTAGCTGTAACAGCCTGTCACATTTGAATAATGAGATTTTTCTGACCTGAATAAATCAGAGAGCTGTGACCTTCTTCTTTGCCTTAGCTAACTATGGGTCAGAACTGATTTAAAAAAAAAAAACTCAAGAAACAACATATTCTAGAAGGAAAGAAGACAGAAACTCATCATCTCTACTCCGTAAATCAGTCCTGAGCAAAACGGTAGGCTGTGGGCGCTCCTACTCCGAGGCATCTTGTCTACCGTGCACACGGCTGCAGCCCCAGCAGGCCTGGTCCAAGGCATCCCTGCCCCTTCGTAATTCACTAAGGATTTGCTAAGGACAGTTGATAAGGAATTCCCATGCCCTTGCTGCCAGCTCTCAATAAACATCTCCCAACTCCTGAAAGAAAACCAACATTTGGACCAGGGGTTAGCCTTTGAAGACACAGTCCTCAGAACTCTGGTTCATTTACCACACAGAATTACAAACAGGAGGTCAGGCAAAGAAAGGGGGAGCGCTTCTGAGGGTGGTCACATGACACCTCTCAGATCAACTGGGCAGCGCAGCCAGGCCTGCAGACGAAATCTATTTAGATCATCCCGTCTCCAAAGAGGGGCTTTCTGAAAGTCCTACCAAAAGAGATTTCTAGGGTGCGTCCCATATCAGAGCACCAGAGTTAAAGTCCCAGCTCCGCTTCTGATTCCAGCTTCCTGCCAGTACACACCCTGGGAGGCAGCAGGTGACGTAGCAAGCCCTTGGACCCCTGCTATACACATGAGAAATCCAGGCGGAGCTCCAGAGTCCTGGGTCTGGCTTGACCAGTGCCAGCTACTGCAAGCATTTAAGGATCTCTCTTTCTCTCTCTCTCTCTCTCTCTCTCTCTCCCTCTCTCTCTCTCTCTCTCTCTCTCTCTTCCTTCCTCCTAACCTTCCTGTCTCCCTCTCTCCCTTCCAGTCTTTCAAAGAATTTTTTTTAAAAAACAAAAGCTAACTTGTGCAAACTATTTTGAAATCTGTGCATTATGTTTTATAGCATTCATTTTCCCTGAACTTTCTGGATATTGTTCACATACATGCATTTCAAAATGTATGGCATCAAAATTAACTTATCTTTAAATTAAAAGTCCTCTCACTTCACAAAGAGAACCTTGGTAAAGGTGGCAGTTGGCAGTACTGCCCTGGAGGAGTGAGATGTGGCTCCTGGCACCAGGAAG